TCCTAAAAACACTGGCTTAGAGCTAATGGGGGCTGGGATGGCTCTGCTGAGATTCAGGAGTTGCTCCATAAAGGTAATCCAGCAGACCTTTGGCTCAGGGTGGGCTGCAGGGATGCTCCTGGGCAAGCAGCCAGGCAGAAAAGGTGTTCTGTAAATTCAGGACCTGATAACTGCAGATGGACAAGTCCATGGCTGTGCTGGGATTCCGCAGCAGAGGAGTCAGGGGAGCAGTAATGAGGAGAGCTAGAACACAATATGTTTTCTTTCCCTCCCCCAGCCCCCTTAAAGCCCTCAGCAATTGCAGCACAAAGTCAAAGCAGAACGGTTTTCTTTTGAAATATATAGCAAGTGCAGCACCTCTGTTTCATTCTGGTTTCATTTCTTGTAGCAGGGCAGGTCTCTATCCCACGGTGCATCTTTGATCTTGCCCCTTAAACAGGCCATTTTAAAGCTCACAGACCCCTTTTCATCAGCATCCACCTTGGCTCGTGGCACCTAACACCCGTGTTTGTATCCTGGCACGTGGCTGAAATCAAAGTGTTGCTGTGGGAAGCTCTGCACATGGTTCATTAAAAAGTAAAAAAGGACTTGCTGCCTCTGAATGAATCCCCGTGTGTTCAACAGAGCTCCCCAAGCCCTGAGATGCAGGAAATATCCGAGCTGCCCCCGCACCTTGCACTCATGTTGCTGGCAGGGCTTGGCACTAATCATCAGCGCTAAATTCCAACTGCTCATCCCAAGAGGATGATGGACAAGGTGGAAAGAGGCCCATCAGTGCTCTGGCAGTGCCTCAGTGACCCTGCAGAGCCAAAAGCAGAAGGAAGGAGCTATTGGAACCGAAAGAACTGACCTGAGGAATGTAATTAGATGAGATCTAAAAACACAAACATGCTGCAAAACCCAGCAGTTTTGGGGCAGGAGTTGCTGCCTGTGGAATGCTTATTCTGCAGACCTGGGATGAGCAGTGGCTCTGGAGGAATCCCAGCTGGTAAAGCCTGGGCCAAGGCCAGCAGAAAGTCTCCTTTTGGTGGCCCAGTGAGCACCACATCACCCAGTCTGGACTTTTTGTGGAGGAACCATAAGCAAGAGAGCAGCAGACACCCCAGACAAGCCACACCAGCTCTGGCTTCTCCTATTCTCATATTCTCCTGGAAATCCCAGAAACCAGAGACTGAGCTGATAAGAGTCTGACACCTAATGGGCACAAGCAGAATTGTGACAAGCACAGGATCCAGCTGGAAATGTCCTTGTGGGAATACAGACATTGCCTCCGAGCAAAGCCTGCAGAAGTGGATGGAAAGGGGAGACTTTTGTAAAGAGAGCACTTAAAAGCCTACACGGCCCATGTCCATGATTGTAAACATGAAAAATTTATAATTTAACCTAGATAGGAGTGAGTCATACAAAAAGTATTAGAAGGCTCCAGGTACAGAATATGAGAGAGGTGCTATCACTTGGAATCACACAATGGTTTGGGCTGGATGGGACCTTAAAGCCCATCCAGTCCCACCCACCCACACCTTCTACTAGACCAGGGTGCTCCAAGCCCCATCCAAACTTCCAGGGATGGGGCAGCCACAACTTCTCTGGGCAACCTTTGCCAGGGTCTCACCACCCTCACAGGGAAGAGTTTCTTCCCAATGTCCAGTCTAAACCTACTCATTCAGTTTGAAGCCATTCCCCCTTGTCCTGTCACTACCATTCCTGTTGAAAACACCTTTCAAAATTTCCTTTGAAATTTCAGAGGTCTCTGCCATATGACAGCAAGGAAAGGTCAGGGTTACCCCTTGGCACTAAATTGTGTTTCTCAGGTTCTTATGCCAGATACTCTGGGATTTACTGTGGAAAAGGGATATCTTCCAGAGCAATGAGCTGTGCCCTAGAGACCTTCAGTTACACTTCGTGTGGTGGTCAGTGATGAATGGGAAGTTGATCAGATTTGACTCAGAAACATCAAATGTATCCTGCAACCTGCCTCTGTGCTATACACACAACTTTGTTTGCTTCATGGAGCCCGTGGGTTCCTTTCCTTTAAAAAAACCTGTCAACCAAAGGCCATTTACAGCAACAGTGTCTTCCAAGGCAAGACACAGCAGAGCTTCCCAGGACTGAGCTCCACCAAGCACTGCCCTCAGGCCTCTCCCTGCCCCTGGTGCTGCATCCCTGGGCAGCATCCAGCCCTGCTGTGAGGAAGCTCACACCACCTCTGCTCCGCTCAGAGGGTAAATAGAAATGTTCCATACCCAGCACCGCTTTCCAGCAGCTTCCACAGGCATCTTTCTTCCTTTTCTTCTAAATTAGATCTTTCTATTATAACTTCAAGGCCTCATGAGTCTCCTTGGCATTTATTAAATAACAACTAAACTCTTCAATTTGCCGTGTTACTACACGATGCAGTTGTTCTCCACCTGAGACGTTGTCCGAGATCAGACTGAAGGAGCTGAACGTGGCAGGGGGATGTTGGAGCAGGACCAGCACTGGGTGTCCTGAAGTGATATACAAACTCCAAATACTGAGGGCCAGGGAAAATCAAGGTTCAGCCTGGTTTCTATGTCCACCTCCTTTCCCCACTGCTGCTTCTTCCACCAAAAACTCAGTGGTCACAGCAGGATTGCACTGTTGTGGATCAGATTTGCCCCCAAAACTCAGCTATGTGCTTGGGGAATGCAAAACTGCCACCAGCAGAGGAAAGGGTTTGCAGAACCCGAGGCTATTGACTTCCTTCATGTCCTAGACATGGCTGTGCCCCATATTCCCAAGGAAACAGCAGCACAGCAGGCATGCCCAGTGTTTTAACACAGCTCTGTGGAGGAACTATAATTGGCCACAAAGCCACAAGTTACCTGACAACAAGAACTGTGAGATGAGCCCTTTTACTCCTACTATTTTGGTTTTAATCTTGCCCTTTCTCTTGCTAGGGAAAAAAAAAAAAAAAAAGCCATCACCTGAGCTCTGGTTTCAGCCTCTGATAACCCACAGCCTTTAAGGTACCCTGAGCCATCTGTAATGAGCACCTGATCCTACCCCCTGCAATAAGCTGCAAATGGGATGAGAAGATCCGGAGGTCAGGGGAGATGTTTCATTTTGGGAACGTGAATGTTTCCCTGCCATTCCAGCCATCCTAACAAGGGGTCCAATTAGCGCTCGTGACTTTGTCATCAGTCCACGGGGACGCAGGGATGGGGACCACTGCTCTCATTTCCGCAAAGATCATGGATCAGGAAGACAAATCATCCCTAATGGGACCTCGGGGAGAGGCTCTGCTCTTCTTTCAAGTCACAGTGGCACACGGGGGCCACTTGCTCTGCAGAGCCACGAGTGCCACCTCGGCTGGTGACAGCAGAGCTCTCCAGCAGCATCCAGCCTCCCCTCCTTCCAAGCAACTGCATGTGCACAAAAACATTTATCAGGGCTTCTGGCCACAGCTTTGACTTTAATTTTATTTTTAAAGTGCATTCACATGTAAATTGACTTGGCCCGAGAGGATACACGAATACAAGAGCCCTTTCTTTTCCCTTGCCATGGCACTGGGAGGAATATGGTGAGCGGAGCAAAGTTTCCTCACCTCCAGGCTGCAATTCTGCAGCAAAAGAAAAGCAAGTTCATTGTTTCCTTCTGCACACAGATGCTGGCTCTGCTGTTTTCAGCAGCCTCGTTCAAGCGAGCCAGTTCAGAATACAAAAGCACATTACATATCCCAGGGACAAGAACACACAGGCAAATGTCTTATCGGCTCTGTTTTATCTGTTGTAAGAGCAGGAGATACATTAATATGAGTTTGTAACTGTGTCTGATGCTTTGAAACACGGTCCTGTCCCACAGCCCCAGGGTCAGACTTGGTTTGGTGGTAGAGGATTCCTGGGGGACGTAAAAAAATTAGAATGTGAAGTTGGAGACCAGGAAAGCACACAATTCATCAGGGCCTGAAAATACACGTGCTCCCCAAGAACCTCTGGGATAAAAACAGGCGGAAATCTGTCCCACAGCACTCACCATATGTCATCTTGTGATGTGTTGCCACAGAGTGAGCACAAAAAGAGCACAGCACTCTCAGTCACCCCATTTTCAACCTGCAACCCTTCGTACCCGCTGTTCCCCACTGCCATTCACTTGACACCTCCCAGCCAAAGCGTTTTCCCTACGATTTTGGCAACATCCAGCAAAAAGACATTGGTTTCCTCTGCAGCGTCGCAGGTGTGTGAAAGCCTCACAGGGAAAAAAAACAACGCACTGACAAAGCGAAAACGGGCAGCACTTTGCATCGAGGCGCAGCCTTTTTGTTTGCCAGAAACCAGGAGTGGGAATGCTTGTGGGGATTTACAGAGCTGAGAGTTATGACTCACTCCGTGTGTGTTTTAGTGAACGAGCAGGTTGGAACGGGTATCCCAAAAGGAAGGATGCCGGCACAGGGATGGCAGCGCATCCTCGGGGAAAGCCTGGGATGCGCAGGAATGAATTAGAGCACTAAAACTTTGCTGCTTCTCCACGTGAAAGCTCCAACAACTCCGCAAGCCATAGCTGACGGACTACTGAAGCTGCTGGAAGCAGAGGCCTCGGCTCTTTGCTCCTCAGTTCTAGTTCTGTACCCCCCCCCCAAAACTTTGCACGTGGGATATTTTGAGTTTCCCCCACTTTGGCACCCCGAAGGCAGCGGGATGGATGACCCTCGACTCTTATCTCGCGCGTATCTCGCTCTTTTCCCCCGGCGTTTCCGCAGCCCCTTTAGCACCGCTGGCCCAGGGTCTGGAGCCCACCCTGGGGTCTGCCGGAGGCCGCGGCTCCGCCGTGCCCCTTCCCCGCCGGCGGACCTTCCGTTACGATCGTTACCGAGCTCCAGCCGCCCTCCTTCCCCTCCCCTCCTTCCCTCCCCTCCGCGCCGGCTCCCGGCCGCGGCGGCCGCTCCTGCCTTTGTGCCCCGGCCGCGGTGCGGTCCCTCCCCGCCTCCCCGGCGGAGCCCTGCGGCGCATGCCTCCCGCTCCCCGGGGGCAGGGAAGGAAGCGCCGCCCGCCCCTGCACCAGCGCGGCGGGCAGCGGCGGAGCGGAGCCCGGCGGAGCGCGCAGCCCGGCCGGGGCTCCGCCGATTTTTTCACCCCCCTCTCGCCGCGCCCCGCGTCCCCCCGTCCCCTCTCGGGCTCCTCTCGGCAGGTGAGCGCCGGGCGCCGGGCGGGGGGCGCGGGCCGGCGGCCGAGGGAGGCCCCGGGAGCGGGGCGGCGGAAGGCGGGAAGGGGGAGCCATGGCGGCGCGGGCAGGGCCCGGCCGGCCGCGGGCAGCGGGCGCGGCGCCCCGCGGGGGTCCCGCGTGCGGCGGCGGCGGGCGGACCCCCGCGGGTTTGGGAGGGTTGGGAACCGGCACAGCCGCGCTGTGGGTGCCCCCCGAGGTTTGGGGGGGGACCCTCGGGTCTCCTCACACACCCTCTGTAGCAGCTCCCCCCCCGGGTGTGTGTCCCGTCATGTCCCCTCACACTCTCTGTGGGTGCCCCCGAGGTCTGCTCGTTCGCCTTCTGTGGGAGCCCCCCGGGTGTGTGTCCCCTCATGTGTCCCCTCACACACCCTCTGTGGTTGTCCCCCGGGTGGGTGTCCCCTCATGTGTCCCCTCACACACCCTCTGTGGGAGCCCCCCGGGTGGGTGTCCCCTCACACTGTCTGGGTGCCCCCCCAACATGGGGTACCCTCGTGTCCCCTCACACACCCTCTGTAACAAGCCCCTGGGTGGGTGTCCCCTCATGTCTCCTCACGCTGGATGTCCCCTCATTTACCCTCACAGCGTTCCAGAGGTTATACCCCTCTCTCCTCCTAAATGTGTGTCCCCCATTTCCCTTCACACCCTCTCTGGGTACTGTCCCTGCTGAGTGACCCCTCATGTCCCCTCACACCCTCTGTGAGTGACCCCTGGCTGAGTGTCCCCTCACGTCCCCTCACACCCTCCAGCTGCCCCTGGATGTCCCCTCACACTCCCCATGGGTGTCCCCTGGCCTAAAGCGGTGCAGTGGCACCAAAATTCACCTCAGTCCCACGTAATTCTTGCAGGACAACCACAATCCAGGTGTGGAGTAGCAAAAGACACCTGCCCCTTCCTTGGAAACTGTGGAATTAGGTTAATAGGAAATACGCTGTGGGTTTGTTTTTTTTTTTTTTTTAATGAAGCCGGGAGCTAAAGTGTGTTAATTGCGTTTCTTCAAGATAATGAAGTATTCTAATTTCTGCCTTTTTGATCCTTAGCTGCTTATTACTAGGGAAAAATGTTTTTACTTTATGTTTGCCCTAGTGAACGTGTCGAAGGCTGCGTTAGAAACTGTTCAGCTATGTGGTTCTAAAAGTCAGGGTTTCAGGTGCTTTCAGTTAATTCACAGTCAAATGCAGGTTCTGTTGGGAGCTCTGGCTTTACTGGCATGTGCAGAACTGAAATAAACCCAAACTATCTTCAAATGACTAAAAGGTGAAAGTTAAACCAGCGTATGTTGTGTTGCTCCAGGTACCACCCAGCAAGGAAGGATGGTCTTGATCTTAAAATTTTAATTCTGCAGGGATGATGTTTTGAGATGAATTATCACTGAGGAAAAGAAAGAGTTGTCTTCCCTGCTTGTCTGTTATCTCACTCTCCAGTAGTAAATAAATAGAAGTTTCAAAGAGTTTAGAATCATTAATTCTTTAAAATATTTGTTGCCACTGATTAATTTGAAACCAGAATTGGAGAATAATTGACGAGGGCAAGGTCGGAGAAGTTTCAGAGGGTAAAGAGGGTAATTCTAGGTCGGCAGAGTCCAGTGCCACTCTCCAGTCAGGGCTCACCGCAATTGTGTGGAGCCTGGGCTTGAAGAACCACCCAACTGCTATAGTTTTTTTAGGAATTACTGCCTTGTGCCAACCAGATACTGTTTTGGTCCTTCCAAACGATGCTGCAGGTGAAACCTTCAGCCCTCACGAGGCCATGTGGAGGTAGAGAACTCTTTGGGGTGTTATGTGGCATTTTCTGGGTGGCTTTTTTCACCCTTCCACAAAACAAAGCTTCGTTCTGTCTGGGGTTTCTACTGTAACACAAAGAATAGTTCATAATCTCCATCCTGCTTTTGCACACTCCTAAAGATCTGTGTTTGCCAAGAGCTTTTATCCTGCAGTGAGGCCGGATGATTGATGTCTCGGGGTTATTGCTGCGTAGTGTGCTTCAGGAAGAAATAAGTTCCCTTTCCTTCTCTCTGAGCTGCCCCAAGTCCCTCAGCTGTACATGTTTAATGTCAAGCCAGAACCAGTAAAAGCTATTTTGGGATGTTGTTTTCACAGAACCATGGAATATTCTGTGTTTTTGGAGTCCAACCTCCTGCTAACACAGTTACTCTGCTCTTTGAGTAAGAGGTGGTTTGTCCCCCACCGTCTCGGATCACGGTCTGGCTTGCTCCACATCCACGTGCAAAAGGGAGTGAAAAGTGCAGGAAGAGTTTCAGAAGTGGAGATAATTACCTGAATTGGATTATGATTGTGCCAGAAAATACTGCAAACCACAAATGATGAGTGCTCTGACTTATCCCTGATGGTAGCAGTGACTGATTTACCTGTTGAAATGATGTTGACTGCTGTGATTATCTGGCACAGTAGTTCTGAGTGCTGATAATTTGCAATTTGTGTTACCAGTATTATTACATGGAATTTCTAGAAGGTACATGCGTAATAATAAATATTTTCCTTTTTTTTCCTTGTTGTAGGATGGAAGAGAGACCAGTCTGAAAAACTGTTCCATCGTGGACTTTGCTGTTGCCTGCTAGAATGTTCCTTATGAATGCTCCTCCTTTGGTAGCTCTTCAGACAAAATGGGAGTCCTTTGGACCAGCGGGGAATTATAGATATCCCGTTTGCTTCCCTGAATCTGACGGGGACGTCACGAGAACCTCTGTAAGTGCAAAAGTTCAGATGATCATAAACAACCTGCAGAGTCAAGAGTCTGCCCTGGGTATGAACAATGAGTGTGGTTGTATTATGCAGAAGAAACAGAAGGGAGAAAAAGGCACCAGTAACAGAGTCACATCGGGCACCCCCTTGCTGCGGAAGCAGCCTCCGTATACCAAGTGTGGATGCCCTGAGGATTCAGGTGGCACTGAAGTGGAAGAGAATGTGGAGTTTGGGACCCTCCTGCTCGATTCTGACAGCGACGACTCTGTGGACCGAGGAATAGAGGAGGCCATCCAGGAGTACTTGAAAGCAAAAGGCAAAAGCGACCAGTCCTTGCCAAGGAATGCCGAGTGTTCCGTGACGACAAGCAGAGACAAGAGGTTTAAGAGAGAATTCTCGCAGAGCAAAACGGCTGGTGACCTCCTCCCTGTGAAATTTAAAGCTGAGATGCTCTCTGAAGAGTACCTGTCTGACCACCTGGGAATTGGGAAGAGGCTCCAGCCTGCTTCCCCTCAGAGCATCAGCAGCGACGACTCTTTCGAACAGAGCATACAGGCTGAAATAGTGCAGTTCTTGAACGAGAAGAAGCAGCAAGAAATTAGTAAATGTGTTAGTGAGGGGGATAAAAAGGATTCCCGGGTGAGATCTGTCCTCAAATGCAACAAAGACACAACAAACAGGACGAACTGTGGTGGTATAAAGCGAGGTTGTAAGGCGCTGCTCCTGAGACACCATCCCAAGCTGCAGAAATCCGGCACACAGTCCAAGTGTTTGCAGTCAAAAATCCAAGCAGAGCCCAGTGAGTTCAGCCAGGTGAACCAAGCGTATCTGGAAATGGGCACTGCCAGCCAGCCCTGGCTCGTGGAGCAGGATGAGGGAAGTGGAGCTCATTACTGGGAGCCAAGGGAAGCACTTAGCAAGGAGAGCATGCACACATCTGACTCGAGCAGTGATGATGGCATTGAAGAGGCCATTCAGCTTTACCAGCTGGAGAAAATCAGGAAAGAGGCAGGTGATGCAGCAGACTGTGTCCCTTTGCAGAGGGAACAATTTGATCCAAAGGGTATGGCGGACATTTCTGCCAGCCTGACAATTAGCTCCACAAAAAGTGCCTCACCAGAAATCCGTAAAAGCCCTATAAGCAACAAGAGAAAAGAAATTAATTCCAAGCCAGCGGGATTAGAAAGCACCAGCAATGACTTTAACAAGCTGTTTAAACCACTGAAAAAAGCCAGGCATTTTGCACTTCCAGAAAACAAGATTGCTGCTTGCGAGCTCACGTTGCAGGCCTCTTGCAGAGCAGACACATCTGCGGAGCTCATGTGTGCAGAAGCTATCCTTGATATTTCCAAAACAATCATGCCATCCCAAATGGGAAGTGACAACAAATCGCTGGCTGCGGACTCCTTCTTTTCTCCCCAGCTTCTGTCCTCCTCCCGTTGTGAAAGTGACAGCAGCCTTGTGGACAGTGATGACAGTATAGAGCAGGAAATCAGGGCTTTTTTGGCTCTGAAGGCACAGTCGGAAAACCTTGGAGCAAAGCCTCCCAGCCTGTCACGCTCGATCCAGATGCCTCTGCCTTCCGATCAAAACAGCCTCAGCAGTACCCTGGAGCCTCCTCTTCCCAAAACACTGAAGCTGTCCCTGAGTCGGAAAAGGAGACTGAAAAGGGAAGGCAGAGCAGCGAAACAAGGGGCATCAAAAACACCTGAGCAGCTGCAGGTGGGACTTTTCCAAGCAGGTAACTATTCAAAATTTCCCGTGCTCCCAGAGGAGTGTGCCCTGAGCCCTGCAGAACCCTGTGATGCTCAGAGCCTCAGTAGTAAAGAGACGAGGCAGCAGCAGCTCGTGTCTCCCACATTGTCTGGCTCTGATGGCAGATGTGTGGCCTTGGACTCTGTAAACCCCTTTCTGCAGGTTCAGAGTAGCACAAGAAAACTCATGAAAAATACGACCCAAACTCCTGAGAGGGAGGGGTCGGATGATGAGAGCAGCTCTCTGGACAGCGACGAGGACCTTGATAGTGCTATCAAGGACCTGCTGCGGTCGAAAAGAAAGCTAAAGAAGAAGTCCAAGGACCAAAAATCCCAGTGCAAGAAGAGAGTCAGATTCAGCGAGACAGAAGCTCAGCTGCTGGATGATTTCAGCAGCCTCCAACAAAACGAGTGGAAATGTAAAAATCCTGCGCTGCTGAAAAGCTGCCTCTCGAAACCCAGGAAAGCCGTGAGAGAGAGCACAGTGAGGAGCCCTTCAGACAACATGAGCATCAAACTTCCCAATGAGAAACCAGAAACCGTGAAAAACTTGGAGTTTAACTTACAGCTTAAAAAAGGGAATAAACCTAAACCAGTTTCGAACCCGCGGGTGGCTAAAAATAGAAAATGTTCTTTCCCAGCTGTGTGCGACACCGACGACAGCAGCTCAGTGGACAGCGACGACAGCATCGAGCAAGAAATCAGGAAGTTTTTGGCAGAAAAGGCCAAAGACTCTGCAAGCAGTTCAGAGATACAAAAAGATGATTTAGACCTATTTAGAGTGACCAAACAAACTGGTAGTAGAGGAAAAGCGAAGCAGCAGCCGGTGGAGAACGAGATCAACCTCGTGCCGGGTCAGAGTAAAAAGACTGAGGTACCTCAGCAAACTGGGGAGTTGAGGAACTCCCAGAGAACAGAAGGGAAAAGTGCAATGTTACATGGCAGTGGGAAATGTGGTTCCTCTGCAGAGAATGTTCATGCTACTGGTCAGTCAAAAGCTAAGCAAGGAGCGGGGGGGTTTAAAAGTGGTGCTGCTGAGTTACCTGGGAACGCAACGGGTAAAAAGAATGTCCGCAAAACAGAGCCCCCTAAACCCAGCAAAAATGAAGGTTGTAAAGTACGAGAAAGTCATGAGTGCAAAGCCCAGATCTAAAAGAAAGAACACCTTTCACCTAAAAATTTCCAGTAAATTTATTGCAGGTCTCAAATACGCCCGGGACAGGAAGAAATCGATGCTTTTGAACAAAAGGCAGAAAGCAGAGAGTTTGCTGGCCCAGAGCAGCACGCCGGGAGTGGAGGCAGCTTCCCAGGATACACATGTACTTCACCCCTTGCCAACAGGTGAATTTAGTGGGGAGAGTACGACAGCAATAAAAGCATCCAGTTCTTCTCAGAAGGTCACTGTGGGAGTGTCAAGTCCCCACGCAGCAGAAACCTGTGCAGGAGTTGAGGCTGCTCCTCTGTGTGTCACAGGGGAAGCCGAGGGGTGCAGAAAGGCTGATGCCTCAGGAGATCAGTCACATTCTCACTCGAGCCTCCCCTGTCAGGAACAGAGCGAGGCAGCAGTAAAAGCAGAGCAGGTTTGCAGAGGAACATCCAAAGCTGAGAACACACTGATGTGGATAGGAGATACCCACACAGGCAGCTGGGCTGATTCAAATGTAGATCCCCCACACCCCGAGTGCAGCGTGGCAGCTGGAAAAGCAGATAAAATCAGCAGGGACACAGCTCAGCAGAGTGCACAGGCATGCAGTAAGGGAGGGAATAACCACCTGGACAAGAGGCCAGATCCAAGTTTAGCTTGCCCACAGCAGGAATTAAATGTGGCAGCAGCAGCAGTGGATAGAACTAATGGAGGAGCATGTGCAGATAACAGTGTGCAGATGTGCATTAAGGAAGAAAAAGCTGACAGGCAGGAAGAAATGCAAGTAACCAGCTCCAGTTTGGAAGGAAAAATACCTGTCCTGCAGAACAGGGAAACTGCTAGTGAAGTGCACCAAGGGCAGGAAGTTTTAGCCAAAACCTGTGCAAAATTTACTGACCTATCTGCAGGGGACTGCCCAGATTCCCTCTTGGAAAAAAAGGTTTCAAATGTGTAAGTACACTTTTTTTTTTTTACAGTAACAGTCATTTTAGAAAATACCTGTCATGGTAATTACCTTGATGAAAGGTGAGACAGTGGGAGATGCTGTTACCTGTACACCATACACACACTAATGTGAAAATGCTTCTATTTAACAGGGATATCGTGGATAAACATACATAGTTTTTGTAGAATTTTGTAAATTATTTAAAAAGTGCTCTAAGGAAATATTTTTTATAATGATTTATAGGGCTTGCATTACTACAGGAAGCTGTAGTTGCTGTAGATAAGATACTGGCTAATCACACTTTAAATTATGAGGCCTCTGATCACCTATCAAAGGGGAACCTGTTTGCACACAGAATATATTTGGCGACCTGTTAAGAGATCCCAGGGAAACACAGCCTTGGATAGCAATGCAGATTATCTGACACTGGTCACATTCCAGCTGCCTTAGAACAAGCCTCTGTCCTGGTTTTCTGCTGGGATCTCAGTCCTCCCACCCTGAGGACTCTGGGGTTTGTTCCCTGAGCAGAATTCCGGCACAGCCAGCGCAGATGGGGGTGTGGAGATCCAGCCTGGGAGATACAAATGCAAATTCAGGTAAATAAAGTGGATCAGTCTGTCTGCACATCCTGTGTAAAGTGATCTCAGCAGCTGCTGCAAGTCCTTTTGAATACCTAAAACCTCCTGCTAGCAGATGATTCCAAGCACAATTGCAAGCTAAGACAAGAGATGGAGCATTGTCTGTTCAGACAACATGATTTCCCTGGATTTCTCTGCATTTATGTGCTCTTGGGCCTGCAAGGCTGAAACAATTCCTTGTTAGCCTCAATTGATGCCCTGCAGTTACCCAGAGATGGCTTTTTGGTTTCCTGGATGAACTTTCTGGAATTGAGTGCCCTTACTTTCTTTTTTTCAGAAGTGGTTTCTCAGATGTTACATTTCTGTGAACTTTTCACTGGCAGTTTTTGTGCAATAGAGCAAAGCTGGGTTTGCTGTAGGAAGTCCCAACGTAAACGCCACGGATATTTTCAGCGCTGTTCTTTCATACTGGCTCTTTCTCTGCCTCCGTTTCCAGCAGCCAGAATGAAGCAATTTTTCACCACTATCTTTTTATTTATACTGACTTTAAACGGGATTGAAGTAGCACATTCATTTCACAAAAAAAAAGGAAAAGTGCCCTCACACTGGTTTCACTGAAAAATTAAAAAAAAAAAAAAAAAAAAAAAAAAGAAAAAATTGAACTGGAGCTGTTGGTCGTTCTTTCATTTGTGTGTAGTGAAGTCCTTCGAGGAGTTTGTTCTTACATCTTGTCCCTGTGAGTTGATCCGATATTCTCTTTGTCTAGTCTTCTACAGAACTTCTCTCAGCCAAACCACCACTTAGCATCACTTTGTTTCTCAGTCACTTCAGCCTTCCTCAAGGCTGGCCTTAAAATTGCAAACTGGAGCAAAAGCAGCCAAGATGGGATCTCCAGTGCCGCATGGGGTCCCTGGTGTGATGCAGAATAGTGGCAAAAACGCAGCGTAGTGTAGAGTAGAACGAGTAACTGTGGCATGTAGAGAAAGAACCCACATCCTTGGTGTGTTTATACTGTTGTGCAGTTACATTTTAAACATGTTTATAGTGCTCACTTGGCATTTCTTCCTGTCCGACCGCCTTTTTGTAGCCCTCGGGTTGGTCGGTCGGGGTGTTTAAAAGGTCAGTGTGTTAAATCATCTCCATTTTGTGGTAGGGTACCTTGGAAAAGTGTTTGTTTTTTTTTTTTTTACTTAGCTCAGTGCCTGCAGTCCCTCTACACAGGCTTGTCCTTCGGTCTGCCTTGATTCCGGTGCAGGATTTGGGCCTTTTGTTTGGAATAGGTCAATAGGCTGGTATTTTAAAATAGAAGTTTTCTGAGTACCTTGCTTTAAAAGGATTAAACTGTACACTTAATTTTCCTAGAGATGGTGGAAGCACTATGTACTGTTTGTATAAAAAGCTGAATGTTTCTCCTCGCAGTTTTCAGTAAATCAACATTAAGACTTAAAAGGTGTCTCGTGCCCCTGTCGCTGTGTCTGTGTCCTCAGTACAACTCGTGAACTGTTTCACTTCCAGTTAAGATGCAATTCCAGTTACCTTGTGCTTTAAATAAAACCTGATTTCAAACAGCACTTTTTTTAAATTGATAAACTTGATTTGTATATAGGAAATGGTGTACATTGCTGAGTTTATAATGTTTAATAAATGGGGTTCTGCCCATGGACCGTGAAACCTGAGTGTTCCTATGGTTTGTGTCGTCATCTTGAGCGAGTAGGATTTGCTGTTCCCTTTTTTTCCCTTCCTGCTTGCGTTCTGAGGGTGCAGTTAACTTCTTTAGAACAAAAAAATGAAGGAGAATCTACCAGCTACATCGGCAGAACAAAGTGGTGGCTGTTCTGGGAGGTGAGAATGGTGCTTGTTTTAGCAAAACCCCAACAGCAGTTTTCTTAACTGGTGTTTGTGGTCGAGAAGTGGAGTCTTTCCTTGTGTAACTCAATGTGTGTCAGGGAACATCCGTGGAATTGGGACAACAGCCACAAGAGTGCCACGGCTCCACTGGCAGTGTCCTCATCCTGCTACAATTCTTATCACTTGTTTAGAAAAAAAAGAAGTCTGGTGTCTGGGATCAATAAGAAATCCCTCTTAGACATCACTAAAGGTCGACCAGCTGAGGAGTAGAAAGATAATATTGATTTCTTTCCCCCCCCAGTATTGATTTTTTTAATTGATAATAATAGTATATCATTATACCACACGTGGTGCCGAGGTTGGGACTGCAGGGCAGATCTCTCGGGGTCGGATCTTGACAGGTGCAGTTCCAAAAGGAGATTTTATTTCCTGTTTATTGTGACCACAACAGACTGTACAGCCTTCCTGGCCCTTTTCAGCACCCAGTGACAGCTCTGGGGAGTGACCAGAGCAAAGTCCTTTTCCCATTGTTTCCACCCTCCAGGGACACCCATTTCTCCTTTACTGCAGTAGATGGAATCATCAACTCAGGTCTTCTCACTCTTGCAAAGAATTACCTTTTTTAATGAATGCTGGTTCATATTTTTTTAAATGACCACTGATTATTTTTTTCAGTCAGAGCACAACGTTTGCCAATTTGGATGTTAAGTTACTTAAACCACTTGATATTTTTCATTATGGCTACTGGTAAGTGGTGTCCTCCTGCCTGCAGTACCACAGTCCTCAGATAAATCTGTGCTTGTGCAGGACTTTGAAAATAGATTTAGTGCTTTATTTTTACCTCAGTGACTATTTTTCAGCACTTGGGGAGCAACAATCTTCAAGGATCCTCATGAGACCACAAGAACTACCGTAATTTTTTATAAACATTCTTTGCTGCTAAGTTAGGAACACGTTTTGACGTGTAACTGCTTTTTTATACAAGGCAGGAACGCACCATCCCTGCCACCATTTCTTTTATTAAAGTATAAGCTTTTTAATTCTTCAAACCTTTGGTTGGTGGTAGTTCAGCCTTGCGTAATTTTATCTGCAAACATGAAAATCTTCCTTTCAAAAGACAGAGTAGAAACTGCTTCAGGGAAATTCTGTGTGGTAAAATGTGTCATCTTTAGGATGATAGTTTGAATTTGTGCAGGTACTTCTTAAGTAGTTGGTCTAACATCTGAACACTAAGGCACATTGCATGTCAGACTCTTCAAAGGAACTGGTTTCAGTTCAAGAATAAAACTAAAAGGCAAGAAATCGAGGCAAGGAAGAAAAGAGGTGGGTGTTTTCAGATGAAGTGGGAAAATATGTGACAGAATCCACTACAGTAATATTTTTAAGAGGCAGTCTTATCCCTAAATTATGCCACCTGCAGAAAAATCTGTGGATAAAAATATATGTAAAATAGTCACAACTATTTATATTAATTCAGCACTTTGTTATTTTCTTTATTTCAGGAGAAGAAAGGGAAGTTATAAGAAGCTCAAGGTACTGTCTAGAGTCTAATAGGAGAATTAACAGTGAACAGTAGAGAGTTGCTTATTTATTTTCAAATGTTAAATATTTTAAAAGTTAACTTTCCAGGCCCATTTCTGCTCAGTTTATTTATTTGTTCCAAAGTATTTGTGTGTTTGCAGCAGGGGGGAATTTTACCCAGCTATTCCTCTGTTTGAGAGAACCAAGTGCCACAAATAGGGAATATTTATGGCACTGAAGAATATCAATTGCAGTGGTGCTTGGCCATAATATTAAACTTATTATTTATATTTTTAGCAAACAGCTAGAATAGTATTGTGTTCATTTTTAATGGATGCTATCCCTATGTTACACCTGTAACGTGGGACTGTTTCTCATCCATGAACAGGCAGAGCAGTTTCTCTTCAAAACTAGTTTTTTAGCTAAAAATGTAAAGGTGTTCCTTTAGTGCAGTCACTGTCCAACTGATGTAGTTTCACTGGCTGTAACTACAGTTGTTACAATAAAACTTAAGAAAACATTTTCTTTTTGATTACGTGTCATTATTTGAATAATTCCTTAAAACTTTTTAGTTGTGAGATAAGAGGATAACACAAGCTTTCTACAAGAAATCCAAAAAGGTTAATGAATACCTCTGGAAAACTTGCAGATGGGTTATTCATTGAATAGTAGAGAAGCAGTTTTAAATCTTAATTTTTAATTATATGTGGTACATGAGCCAAGAGTTTAAAGGATCATTAGTGACAGAGAAGAGGTTAAGGGCATATATGTTGTTCTAGGATTTATATGCTGCCTATAAACTAAGCGAAACGGCTCGTAGGAGCTATTTAACTGACATTTAACCACATTAAATCTTTATAAATCAACATATTATTCCCAGGAACACTCGTTCTGTGAATCAGTGGGTTTCATCTCAGCTCTGTGTGGTTTCCCCACCGCGAGAAGCGGCGGTGGCTCCGTGGTGTCCCTGCCTAGCTCAGGTTCCTGCAGTGCGAGGGCCCGCTGGGGTTGTAGCTGGGGTGGAAGTCCATGTGCTCGTAGGCGGTGATGAAGGTGTCGGGGCCCGTGCAGTAGCTCTTCTCCAGCGACGTGTTGAGGCTGTTGTTCCTGTACATGCCAGCCCTGCCCAGATGATCCGAAAACTTGTGCGAGATGACGTGGAAGCAGGTCTGGGGGAAGGGGGGCGAGAAGAGAAGGGAGATGTTTAAAAAACGCCAGCAGCGAACAGCGCCTGCAGAGTTTGGATGCCAAGTTGGGTTTCGTGCTCCGGGAACGCCGCGTAGGGCAAAGCTCGGCCGTGCCGACCCCAAATTTCCCCCCCGGGGGTCCCCCCATCGCCTACCGGCAGCTCGTGCACCGCGGGGGCCCTGCTGCCGTAGGTCTGGTTGGTGGTGCGGAACCGGGGGTGCGGCGCCGGCTGCCTGCGGGGCGAGAGCACAGGGTAGGTGTGGGGGCCCGGGGGGGCTCCGGGGGGCCGCGCCCCGAGCTCCCCGCTCACCCGTAGCCGCGGTAGAAGGCGGGCTGTCGGAAGCGGCCGGGCAGCGCGGGGCCGGGGCCGGGGCCAGACATGGCTCAGGGGCAGAGCGTTGCCCGGCGACGGGACGCGATCGCGCCGCGCTCCGCCCCGGGGAGGGCGCGGGGCCCGCCCCGCCTCGCAGGAAGCGGAAAGCGCCGCTGACCTTCCTCATCCTCCTCCTGCTGCTGCTGCTGCTCCTGCCCCTGCTCCTACCCCTCCGTGCCCTCGGAGCATGGCGGTGCCGCGGCTGCTGCGGGCAGGTGAGCGGGCGCTGCCCAGCCCGGCCCGGCACGGTCCGCCCCGGCCCGCCCGTGTGACCCCCGTGTTTCTCTCCCACAGCGGCCCCGCGGCTCTACAGCACCGTCCCGGTACCGGCCCCGGCCACGGCCCCGGCGGTGACCCAGCCCAGCGGTGAGTGTTCTCCCTCCCCGGGTCCAGATCATCAGCGATGCCCGTGCAGGTATCGCCTCCTTGCAGCAGGTGGTGGTGGGCGCATCGGGGTCCTTTCTGCAGCCTCAGCTCGCCCCCCAAAACACCAGAGGGAGCAGTGATGGATTGTTTCCCCTCTCTCAGCTGCGGATGACAAGCTGCTGTCAGAGCCTCTCCTCCACCCCGACTTCTTCAACGTGAAGGAACTCTTCACCCTGAAAGATCTCTTCGATGCTCGGGTGCACCTGGGCCACAAAAAGGGCTGTCGGCACAGGTGAGTGCAATTACTTCATTATCCAGCACTTGTTGACATCAGGAGTGCTTCCATAAACAATGTTTTGCTTTGGGGGCTGCACTAGATTGGTGTCAGCCTGGAACTGCCCACACAGGGCAGATTACAGAGACCTCCTCAATGTGGGCACCAAGGGGGAGACCAAGCTGGAACAGACACTGGGCATGAAGGTTCTCTGCAGAGAGCACCTCTGGTATCAGCCAGGAGCTGGAGCGGGCAAAAGGAATGTTCCTGTGGGGCCACCCCACATCCAGGAGCACTCGGTGCCTGCACACCTCATCCCCGTGCCTCGTGTGCCGCCCTCCCTCTGCCCCCCGCAGGTTCATGGAGCCCTACATCTTCGGCTGCCGGCTGGACCAGGACATCATCGACCTGGAGCAGACCATGCAGCACCTCCAGCTGGCCCTCAACTTCACGGCCCACGTCGCCTACCGCAAGGGCATCATCCTCTTCATCAGCCGCAAGCGCCAGTTCTGCCACCTGGTGGAGCGCACGGCGCAGGCCTGCGGCGAGTACGCGCACACGCGGTACTGGCAGGGCGGGCTCCTCACCAACGCCCACATCCAGTTCGGCGCCGGCGTCCGCCTGCCCGACCTCATCGTCTTCCTCAGCAGCCTCAACAACGTCTTCCAGCCGCACGTGGCCATCCGGGACGCTGCCAAGATGAACATCCCCACGGTGGGCGTGGTGGACACGAACTGCAACCCCTCCCTGATCACCTACCCGATCCCCGGCAACGACGACAGCCCCTCGGCCGTGGAGCTCTACTGCAAGCTCTTCAGGATGACCATCATCCGCGCCAAGGACAAGAGGCGGCAGAGCGAGGCCGTCGAGGAGCTGCGGAGGAAAGCCGAGGGCAATTAGAGCCCCCCGGGATGGGCTCAGTGCCCTGGGGATGGGCCTCCTGCTCCACTTCCACCAGACTGGCTCTGCACCTGCAGCACCGGCTTCTGGCAGGGCTGGACTGGCTGTGGAAGGGACTCCCCAGCTCTGCTGTGCTCAGAGATCCCAGCTCAAATTGCTCCCTCCAGAGCCACGCAGGGAAAATGGAGCCAGGCCAGGCCCTGCCCCACTCCTGGGTTTGTCCCTGTTACGAGGAGGTGCCCATGTCCTGTGGCCTTCCTGTTCCTGAGCTCGTGATCTCACCTGAAACCACTTGTATCTCGCGCCTCTTCTTAGCAAATAAAGGGGTTTATCCCTGTGATCCTTTTTGTTTCTTCCATTGTGAAATGGGAAGGGGAGTCTGCAATGCCAGGGGAGTGCAAGGCAATGGGAGCGAAAGGGATGAAGGATGTCCCCAAGCTGGGGACAGTGCAGGGTGGCTGGTGCATTGCTGGGCTGGAGGGGCCCCCAATGGGGGTTGGAGGGTCCCCACTGGCTGGTGCTTCACAGGATTGAAGGATCTCCACCAGCTGGTGCATCGCAGGGCTGGAGGGTCCGTGCTTTGTCCCAGGACATGCTGGCAGCGAAACCACGGGGAGCAGGGACTCCCGAAGCGGCTGAGAAAAGGGATATCCATCCCCTAGTACGCCTCATGCCTCCATGGGAGGCCCTAGCGCGGTCCCGCACCGTGTGGAAGAGCTGTGGGCAGGGCCCCCTGTCCCTTGTCCCCGCCTGTGTCCCTGGTCCCTGCTCTGGGTCCTCCGTCCCAGCTGGGGGCGCCTGGGGAGGCGAAGGCACCGCGCAGGCCCTTCCTTTCGCGGCCTATATAAGCGGAAGGCGGGCTTTCTATCGCCCTTTCGGCGGGCGGGCAGCGGGCAGTGCGGACCTCTGGAGCTGCCTCAGCGGGACCGGGAATGGGAGCGGGACCGGCCCCTCCCGGCCGGGTCATGGCGAAGCTGAGAGGCCCCTCGGTGTCGGGAAGGCGATGCTGGCCGAGGAACGCCCGCCCGGGCGGGCCGCGCTGCCCTTGCCGCGCCGTGTTGTGGCGGAGCTCCCTGAGGGCCGGCCCCGCTCGGCCCCGGCGCTGAGCGGCCCCGGGAGGGCGATGTGAGGGGCACAGTGAAGGTAAGGAGGGTCCCCTGCTCACCTTCGGGTGCTCCAGGGGCTGCCACGTGCGCTGTAAATCCGGTGTATCTTCAACTCGTGTATAGGAATGGGCTGGGGTTATTATATATATGTATATCTATCTATATATACATATCTGAGTACAGCTCTCTATATATAATATGTAGATCTAATAAAAATTCCAGTACATACATTAAATATATATTTTAATATATACTCCCCCTCAGAGGGATAGAAAATTTAAGGCTGCTGCCTATTCAGGTTTTCAGAAAAATATGTTTTCAGAGATTTCAAGTAGCTAAGATTAATCTTGGGCAGATGCTGTGGTTTTTTAAATTGTGTTTTAAGTCTCTGATTTTCAGTTAAACGGTGCGTTTCGCCCAAAAAATAAAGTTGGTTATGCAATTTGCTTTGCACTTGTGTGGTATTAACTGTATTCTCTGTCTTATTTCAGCCCATCAGCAGGCAAAAAATGAAGGGGCCAAGACTGTGTGTCTTCAGAAAAGAAGGGTGATGCTTCACACAAAGGCTGCCCACCAGATGCCTTTGTTAACACTGCTTTCCAAGAGGTGATATAATCTTCTTATAAATACCATAAAATCATGGAATAGTTTGGATTGCAAGGGAACTTGAAGCTCATCTCACTCAGGGCAGGGACGCCTTCCCCTAGACCAGGTTGCTCATCCAGCCTGGCCTGGAGGGGCTTCCAGGGGTGGGACATACACCCATAATTGCATTTTCCTCATATTTTATGCCCGTGGTTTTGAGATTTTTTTTATTTCCCAAACTGCCACTGGCGTTGCAGAGATGGCTGCTGTGGCATCTTTGTGTCAAGACGTGGCGAGAGAGACAGGCTGTGTTCTACGCTCGTGTGCTCTGCAGGTCGTGAGCACTCAGAGTGATTGACAGCCTGACATCACCGATAAAAGAGTCAAAATTGTTAGTCTGAAGCCATGTGGTGAGTTGGTGACATCACTGGGAGTCACCAGCCCTATTTCTATCCAGAAATACTCCTGTGCTATGCATTTGTTTCTGTCATCAGCGAAACAGTACCTGTATAACCAGGCTTTAAAGTGTGTCTAAACCCTGTATATATAAATTTTCCTCGTGTTTTCCAGACAAAGCCACGTGACTGGCAGAGCAGGAGGTGTCCTGGACCCGAGGTGAGCCCCAGCAGTGTGAGTTCCCCACACAGCCCTGCCCCATCTCGTGTTGCAGACGTGGCTGCAGTGCCACGTTTGTGTCAATCGGTGGCAGAGAGGAACAGGCGACTCCTTCCCTGGTGCTCTGACCCCTGTGAGCTCCCAGGATTGCTCAACAACCTGACATTTATTTATTGCTTTTCCTGTTTGGCTTTTTTTTTTTCCCTTTAATGTAAATCTGAAATGGTGAAGGGTGGGTGGGGCACAGCAGCTGTTTTAGTAACACACTGGGTTAAAAGCTAATTCAGATTTCTTTTATTGCTTTAGAGATTCACAGAATGGTTTGGGTTGAAGGGACTTTAAAACTCATCTCATTCCAAGCCCCAATGGGCAGGGACACCTTCCACTAGCCCAGGTTGCTCCAAGCCACATCCATCCTGGCCTTGGACACTTCCAGGGATGGAGCAGCCACAGCTTCTCTGGGCAGCCTGTGCCAGGGCCTCCCCACCCTCACTAGGGAAGGATTTCTTCCCAACATCTCATCTAAACTGACTCCCTTTCAGTTGAAATCCATTTCCCCATGTCCTGTCACTGGATGCTCTTGTGAGGAATGGCAAATTGTGGTATTATCTATTCCAATAATCCTGAGTCCTTGGAGCTTTGATCTGTTGATCTCATTAGAGGTCAGAGATGAGTTGCTTGATGTTGTTTCCACTTTTAACTCTCCCTCCAAAGAATCAGCAGAAGGTGGAGCACAATTCCTTTGAAGAGCAGTTAAAGTGATGCCAGTTTTAACTGCATCGGGGGAAGGTCCTTCCTTATTTTCACAAGGACAAGTAGAAGTGACAGCTCTGTTCCTGAATTCTATTTTTACTCCTTCCTGGCCTTTGAGATACCCTTGATTGCTGCCTGGGAAAGGGCACCTCAAGCTGTGCAGGGTTTGGCACTGTGTAGGTATCAAGAACTGAACCTGGGAGTGGAGGGAAACAGGCACTTGCTTTGTTTCCAAAATACAGGCAGGGTTAGATGGAATTGGGTGTGAATTTAGCATAGGGAGGAAATTACACCTGGAGTAAATTTATGCAGAAGATGCAATCAGGAATCTTCTGAAATGCAGCTTTGTAATCATGCTTGCTTTTTGGGGGGAGAAACACAAAAATCAACTCAATCCTTTACCAAAAAAAAACCACAACAAACTGAGGATGTTTTTCCTTCTCACAGTTTTCTTTTGAGAGCAAGGCTGAGTTCTGGAATGATCTTCAAATGTTGAAGGTGGGTATTGGGTTATTTCTCAATGTGTTACCAAAGTGAGTGGAAAGAAACCCTTGTGTTGGTACATCTTGTCCTGCTGAACCTCATGCAGGACATGGATGCAAAAAAAATTAAAATGCTACTAAAGCATTCCTGCAGGGAAAAAAAACAAACAAACTTAAAATTCAGTATTTTTTCATCTTTTTTTGCTGACAGGTGAAGCACTTTCAGGTTTCACTGTTCTGACTAGCGCAGGGATTTTTGTAAGCAATCTTTAACACCTCTGATCAACACTTGTTTCAGTTCCTCAGACTGCCTTTCTCAGCTCCCAAAGTGCCTCCTTTCAGGGGCAGCTCTGTAGGAACAAGACACTTCAAGAGCTTAAACTTTTATGTGCCTGTGCATCATGTTCTGGCTGGTAAAACATCAGGCAAGAAGCAAAAATGTAATTTGCTGAGCACAGTGTGAGTTTTTAGTTGTTTTGTTTTCTTTTTGCTGTGTTTATTTGCTGGCACGATGGCAAAGGAACCTCCAAGGAGGGAGCACTGGTATCCCTGTATGCAGATAGTTCTGTGTCACTGTCCTCCCTTGGGTGACATGGGACACATGAACCCGTTGTGAGAACCAGTAGGGAGAGAAGTTCTGCCCACACACAGATTGTGGATCTGAGGCTTTGCAGCTCTGACAGGTCTGGCAGAGCTAAATGGTGGGAAACCTCATTAAATGGGCATTAAGCAGGGCCAGAGGTGCTGCAGAGCCTGCAGGTTGTGCTGGCTGCAAAGTGAGCCCTTTAATTGGGGAAAGTCACTGCCTCCAGCAGTGGCTTTGGAGAAGAATGCTAATCAGGTTGGAGGGAGGTGGTTATGCCTTGGGATGTGCCTCTTCTATTTAAATGTCCTGACTTCTTTCAACCCTAAAATACATGTGTGGGGTTTTTCATCAGGCTTTACTCACATCAGGGGTCCTGGATGGGCAGTGAGTACTAATGAGTGTTTCCAGAACTTCCCAGTGTGAGGCACAGGATAACTATGAACATTTTCCTGGTAGCATTTGCTGTGAACCACCTTCCTGAGCTTCAACACTGCTCCTGGGCCAAGAATTTGGCTTTACTGAAAGAACACCTGGCTCTCCACTGTGGAAAAGAGAAGTGTTTTGTATTAAAATGGTTTTGAGAGCAACTAAAAATGTTTCAGCACATAACTTAGCCCTTCATCATCAAAGATTGGTTTATGTCACGGCTTTGAGTGCTGGAATAAGCCCAGCTTTTCCTTCCCTGCACTATTAATAGCTTGGCTCTGCCCTGAGGTTGACTTGGATTTTTAGGGAGTGAAGGAATAACCAAAGCAGACTCCAGCTATCCTGCTCTTAAGTTAACCCTTTCCTAAACTCTTAAATTCATGGCTTCTGCTTCTGTCACTTCTGTGGGTCCTGAACCACACAGATGTCCAGGCAGGGAATGCAGGCAATGGGATTTGAGGTGTTCCTGTGGTTCTGGACTCAAGGAAATCCTTTTCTAAAAGTTCCCCTCTGAACCCTGATAATGACTGCCCTAAAATTTGGGTTCATTTTATGAAGCTTTTCTGGGATGTGAAAAATCTTTGGATAATTCCAAGACAAACAAGGGCAGCAGAGTCTGAGTGACAAGTTAATTAGCTACTTAGTATTGACATTATTTCTTCCTTTTCCTGTCTGTATTAGAATTTGTCTGACATCCTGTGCTTTTTCTTTATTTGCAGGTCATGGCCTGAGTTTCAGAATTCCACTTTCAGACAAAAGTAGCAAAAGAAGCGATTGGCGGTGTCTGCATGTGAAGATTTGCAGATTCCTCAAAAGCTGATCATCTGTGTTTTGTCTACATGGCTAAGAAGGATTTAAAAAAAACCAAAACACCTAAATAAAGATGCCACCTACCATAAGTCTGAATGGTGCTTGTGTAGTTGTAGCACCCCAAGCAACACTATTTTTTAACCATTCTAGGATTTAAGACTTCTGTTGGTGGGTCTGGAACTGGGGTGGTTTTGTACTTCCTGCAGTTAAAGGTATTTCTTACCTCCATCCCCTTGGGCACGAATTTCTGCTGCAGGAGCAGCAGCATCCAGTGGGGTCAGATTGTCAGTCTTTGTGTCCAGGCTTTTTTTCCAGCCTCTATGGGAAATCTGGAGGAGGTTGGAGTGTGAAATAGCTTTTGCTTTTACTCATTCTCTCCTGTATTCCTGTGTAGCTTATAAACCGTGAGCACTGCACAGACTTTGTGCTTTTTATTAGGGATGAGCAAAAAACGCTGTCCTTTTGGGGTTTGTGAGTCATCAGTGATCCCTAGGAGTGTCCAGTGCTGTGGGATGTGCGGATTAATGATGGTGATGGAACAAGTTGTTGTCAGAAGTGTTTATTTCAATAAATCTTGTCAGCTACAGGGGCTGCCTCTCTTGGATCTTAAAATAAATACTTACAAATTGTGATCTTGAGGGGAAAACCCCTTTCCTTTTCCAGGTGCTTACCTGCTGCTTTAACACTGCTTTTGGGTAAAGGAGCAGCAGGGATTTAGTGGGAATATCAGGACAAAATTTACCAGTAAATAACAGAGGGGAAGGTGAGAAATGGCTTCTCTGGTGACCTGAGGAGGGGACTTGCCACGGGTGGGTGTTGGATTCCTTTGCTAATAGCAGAAGGAAATTAATGTGCCAGTGGAGCTGGTTGCCATGGGGATGCAGGACAATGGATGAGCTGCAGTGGCTGCTTTGGAGGCTCGTTACTGAATTCCAGTGAATTCCAGCCCTGCCCACGTGCTCCCTCCTGTGCAGGTGAACCCCACACCTGCACACGGGGCCCTGCTCACCTTGGCAGTGTCTGTACCTGAGCCAGGGCAACTCGAGGGGCTGAGGAACTTCTCCCCCTGCAAACACAGAAACCTTAGGAGTGCTCGGCCTTTCCATGGGTAAATTGCACCGCAGAGGCCGCTCCTCAGCAGGGAGTGAGCTCTGTGCTGGGTACAGGGCCCTGCTGACCCCAGGACACCTCCATAAACACCAGCACGAGGTGATGAGGATCCTAAAGAACTAACACGAGGAAATCCTGGTCTCTCTCCTCAAAGGGCTCCTAAATGTGTAGCTGATCACATTCCCAGGTGATCCAGACTGTCAGGTGTGGTTTTAATTGGGATTGTGCATCAGCTGCACACCCCGCTCAGGAATTGTTGGCAGGAGAACCAGCACGCGGCCCAGCAGCAGGAATACGGCTGTGCTGGGAACAGAGCAGCCTTGGGGGAGTTCACAGGAGCTCTTCCTCCCTACCCACAGTTTTAAGATTGCTATAATTGGGCATTTAAAGGAAACAACTCTAGTTAGAGCCCTGGTAGTACATACACAGCCAAACAAATGTCTTGAGACCTGCTGAAAGCCTGCCTGGAAATTCACTTCAATAACAAGAGAAGCACTGGATTATTCTGGTATTAACCTTCAACCCCTGCAGGGCAAGCCCAGCTTAGTTTTAGGAGAATTAAACCGAGGGGTTGGTTTATCCCTGCTCTGAGTGTGGTGGGAAGGGACACACGGAGCACATTAACGGGTCAGAACTGTTCATGTTTAGCCCTTTGCCTTTAAGCCCTCCTTGGCCTTAGAGCTTCCAAAGCCGACTCGTGAGGGAATGGCCTGCGCTGCCAATTTTGGACTTGGGGCGGGAGCAGCCGGGTGGGAGCCTCACACAAGCCATGGCATCACTGTCAGGGTCAGGCACTTAAAAATGGAACCAAAGAATTGCCAGGATTCTCCACTGTGGAACAGACTGCTTATCTGCTTCCTATGTTACAGCTGGATCTGATGGCAGATGACTCAGACACTTAAGGAGAGACTTTTGAATCAGGAAATCTACCTTTTCCTCCTTTTTAGATCACAAACAAGCTGGTACTTAACAGGCTGCTGTTTCGCTATTGATGTACTGGTGTGATTCACGTAAAAGCTGTTTATTTACATCAGAGACGTTCATCAAAAGAAGATGTGACAAGTACAGCATGAATGATTCATTCCCATCGCTCTGCTCTGCTTTCCTGTTAATCAAGAAACACTTAGATGCATCCAGCTGGGCTCCACTTCCTTATCCCTTTCCGCATCATCTTCCTCCCCCGAGCCTGTCCAGCCCGGTGTCCCAGCTCTGCAGACACTCCTGCTGACTGATCCATGATCCTGCTGGGCGGTGGAAGTCATGAAGCTTGGTTTTCCATGGAGAAGGGGCTGCAGCTCTGCTGAACTCCCTGTGCAGGGCGTGTTTTTCCTGTGGGGAAGATGCAGAAACAGGCCTTCAGCCCTTGGACTTGACTCTGAGATGGCAGATCCTAAACTCCAGGTGCCGTGCTTCCCCTGCCTCCCCGTTAGGAATATTTGGTGTTGGAAATCTTCTTCCAGAGCAAGGTCTTGAGGTTGTTGAGCACGAGGGAGTGGTGCACCTCCATCTGGCTGGCCAGGCCGCTGAGGGTCGTGCAAGTTCGGAGCTGCTTCTGCAGCTCGTCCTTCAGCTCCAGCGGCGCCCCGTACAGCAAGTAGTCCTGCAGCAACCCGCACACCTTGGCCAGGTTGGGCTGCACCATGTCGCCCTTGCACTGCTTCATCAGCTTGTCGCAGGCCGCCGTGCAGTCCCGCCCGTAGGTGCAGTCCACGTTCTGCTCGCAGTGACGCCCCTTGAGGAACGCCCTGATCGTCGCCTCCGTCGCCACCTTCCCCAGGTCGACCATCTTGAAGTCGAACTTGTCGTTGTAGCCCACGTTCCTGAAGCCCGTCTCGCAGATGTGGAAGCTGCCGTAGGTGCCGTGGAAAATCTCCTCCACGAACTCCAGGAGGCCGATGGCGATCTTGGCGCGCCGGGGCCACGCCGGCGCGAACCACTGGTGGAGGAGCTGGTGGGCAACGGAAGGCAGCAGCGACTGGAGGAAGGGGGGGACGTCCAGCCCGTAGAGGGAGGTGTGGGGGATCTTCTCGGTGACATACAGGTCCCCACAGTGCCCCAGCAGCTTGGCAGTGTGCTCCTTCTCGTGCAGGGAGAACATGAGGAGAAACTCATTGAGCTGCAGCAGCGCCCAGATGGATTTGGCCTCGGCCAGGGACACTTTCCCGTCACGGTTCACATCGGCCATGGCGATGATCCGGCTCACCAGGGCTGGGAGGGATGGCTGATCTCCCAGCTTGGACTGCAAACGGGACAAGAGGCGGCATCAGACCCTCAGAGCTCTCTGTGTTTGGGCGTCATATCACAAAAACCAAACTGGGAGTGCAAAGAGCTGAGCTGGGGAGGGGAGGAAACAGCCACCACGCTCCAGAAAATCTGATGCCATGGCACTGTGTGGACAGACACAGCTCCAGCAGAACGTTACCAGCCTCAGGGCTCCAGACAGGAGCACGGTTTTGGGAGCAAAGGCCAGGCATCACGGTTGCCCCACTGCTGCCACAGAAGCCCCTCACAGGGGTAACTACCAGGGCCACCACGGGCTCGTGAATCAGCTCTGCCCAGCACTGGTCCCACCCAGAGCCTTGGCACAGAGGCCTCCAGGGCTGCTGCTACTCAAATATCACAAATAAGAGTTCCTGGGAGAAAATGAAGGTTTTTCTCCACTAATCGAGGATATGGCAGGGAGCACCCAGCCCAGCACCCAGCAGTGGGTGGGGGAGTGTGAGCCAGAGGAGATCTCGTTCAAGGGGAAGGAAAGACACAATTAGCCTTCCCAACTCGTAGGTGGCATTCTGGGCCTGTGGGATCCCACAGGACCCCTGCACTGACCTTGAGGAAGTTGAGGAGCATTTCTTTGAACTCATCCATGGACGTCCCCCGTGTGGGTTTGTCGAAGAGCACCACGTCCCTCCTGGGCACAGAGTCGGGGCGGCTGTCTGCCCTCAGGGCTTCTCCAATGCCACATTTGATGATCACCTCCCTGTCCCTCCAGAGCCCGCTGTAAACCTGCAGCACAGGGGAGGGGACAGGGCGAGGTGGGAGGAGAACAGCAAGTGCCAAAAAAATCCCAGAGATGGGTTCTGGTTCGGTTGAGGATGGGAACAGGGTTGGGGTGAGGAGATCTCCTGGGTTTTATGCCTGTGCCCATCCCATGCCGTGTGGTGGAGGAGGCACAGACCTACCTGCTGGGTGGGAGAGGAGGAGAGGCAGTGCTGGAAGAGGAGGCCACGCTCCTCACACAGGTCCTTGCACGTGGAGCCAGAAATGATCCCTTTCTTGTACTGGTCACACTGGGGAGGAGAGAGAGGAGCTCAGCAGGGGCAGCTTCACATTCACCCAAAGAAGCCTGATAGATCCAAGCTTATTCCCACAGCTCATGGAGCACCCCAAGCACACAAGCTGGGCATGTGTGACCCTCTCAGACTCCCATGCCGTGCCAGCACAGTGTGCAGGTGGTTTGGGGTGATGTCTGCACCTTGGTGGCCATTTCAGCCAGTTCAGGGGGCTGGGAGGAAGGGGAGCACCTTGTGCTCAGACCTTGACCAGGGAGATGTAATGCCAGTTGCTCCAAGTCCAGCCTCTTCCAGGACCCCCAAACTTCCTATTCTGTTTTCCAAAGAAATCCCAGCCCAAAATCTCCTCTACTCTTAGACCCAAAGATTTCCACTGGCCCTTGGGGGTGGCTCAGTGCCTTGGGCACAGTGGGGCTGGTCTGGCAGGGACCCCCTGTGCTGCTGGAGGGACCCTCAGGGGATTTGCTCCTGGATGCAAATCCAGGAGTTTGGGAGAGCTCCCAGGGCTGGAGGAGAGGACAGCGTGGATTTGAGGAGAGTGAGGATGCAGAGCCTGAGGCTGCTCAGCAGAGCAGCAGCCTCTGCTGTGAGATGGGCTGGCCCTGGTCCAGGGGGTGGCAGGGACAGGGACAGAGGGTGGCTCTGATCCACGGCTGGGCTGGGAGCAGGAGACATCCCTGGGCAGGAGAGGCTGCAGCTCCTCAGCGAGGGCACAGCAGCCTCGGGGCTGGAAGCAGGAGCTGCAGACATTCACTGCATCTTTTCCTTCTTTTTTTTTTTTTTTTTTTTTTTTTCTTTTCCTGATGTGGATGGGATTTAACCCTCGGACCTGCTCACAGGGGACACGGCCAGACACGGCGCCTGGAAGCCCGAGCTCAGGGCAGGAATTAGCGCCCAAGACCCCGTGGTCGGAGTCAGGCAGAAAATCAAATCCAACGATCTCATCGCTGTTGTTATGGCAATTCCTGCCTCCCTCCTCTGCTGGGGGATTGACCAACGAGGCATGTTCTGACAGAGCCCGGCGTCCCCTCCTCCCCCGGGCTGGGCAGGTGACCTGCTCCCCTGCCATGGGCCACACACCCTGATCCTGGGGGGATCCTGCTGGGATCTGTGGGGGACAGGCAGCACCCCACTGCAAACCCCAGGCGGGGGAAAAACACACCAAGCCAAGCTGGTGCTCTGGTGCTTTCCTTAGGGCACATCAGCAGCTACAGAGAGGTACCCATGGACTGGCTGCTGCCCATTTTCTCCAGCTCCGTGGAGCCCAGGGTGGGTGGCATGATGCTGTCCCTGCCCACAGATCCTGCTCACTGCCCTGATGTTCCAGCTTCATCTCCACACACATTAATCTGCCCACGTCTGCCTGGCCTGGCCTGCCCTGGCTGCTTCCCTCTGACATCTCATTACCTCGTTCCTCCCTCTCACTGGCAGGGGAAGGTCACCTCTCCCACCCCTGGGGATGGCTCCAGGGAAGCAGCTGCCACGAGGGCTCCATGGCCCAGCTTTGGGGCTTGGGAGGCTGGGAAGGGGGTTCCCACGGCCCTGCTCACCCCAGCACCCCACACTGGCCCACTCACGATTATCATCCGGCAGACGTGGCCGCGGCAGAGCTCGGAGTAGGACGAGTAGTGCATGTAGGCCACCCAGCTGCCCACGAAGATGCCCAGCCACACCACCAGCAGGTACTTCACCTTGATGCCCGGGAGGCGGCCCTGGAAGGGAAAGGAAAGGCCGGTGAAGGGCAGGGCTCTGCCCAGGGCAGCGGCAGCCGCACAAGGACAACTTCTGCTGTACAAGCTGACCTGAGCGCTGCTGAAACCTTCAGCCTTTTTTATATATATTCATCAGTCTATTATGCAACTCCTGCTGCAAGTAGGTCACTTAAAATTCCCTAAAAGCAGGGAGATTACAGCACTGGGCTGCAAGAGCTGGATGCTGTGCATCCCCAGGAGCTGCAGCCATGAGCACCCGCTCTCCTGCCCTTCCCCCTGCAGGGCTGTGAGAGGCTCTGCTCCTCTTTGGGGAGACCCTTCTCAGCAGAACCCCTCTTGCAAAGCCCCACAGGCACAGGTGGCTGTCACCAGCAGCTCCTGCACGGAAACAGGTAAGCGAGGGACCTGGCAGCACATGGGTGATGCTCCGTGCAAACAGCTCGAGGCTCACAACGGGATTTTGTTTCCTTGGCTTTGTTTCTTCCCCCTGACCCTGCACCAGCAGCTCTGCTGCCATCTGGCCTCCCACAACAGAGGCTGCTCACCTGCCTCGTGTCACATGGTGCAGATCCCTGGCAGTTCTGAGGGGCAGGGAAAGAATCCTTGCATCAAACACCTCTTTCCCTCCAGTTGCTACAGGTGATTCTACAGAGAGCCATTGGCCAGTGGCCACCTCCAAAGCCTCCTCCCTCTGTGCACTGGTGAGAGCACAACCTGCTGCTGGGATGGGGCTGGATCTGGATCTGGGCGGGTACAGCGCTGACAGGGATCCTGGCAAACCCACTCCCACCTCCAAAACACCTCCTCCCCACCCCTCTCCAGGTGCTGCAGGGGCTCTGTCAGGGCAGTCCTGGGGTGATGGGACCTCCTGCCTTCCTGGCTGCAGCCACTGGCTCACCCCAGCCCTGGCAGTCACAGGAATGAGCAGGCAGGTCTGCCTTGAGGTCACAGGCATTTCTCATGTTGATTGGAAACCCCGGAGTGTGAAGTGGGCAGGGGTGCCTGGTTTGCCTGTCGAGCAATGTCACCGCTAATTGATGTGAAATTAAATTAAAGAGAACCCAACCACGGCCAGGACTTGGCAAAGACAAAGGATGGGTGGCTGCTCCTGTCAGCTGAGAACCAGCTCACAGCCCTGAAGTCAGACACACAGCTCTGGGATCCTCGGGATCCTCCCCAGCACAGCAGCCCCCCAAAAACTGCCCAAGGGTGGGTACATGACCCATCAGGGCTCCTGCCCTCAGAAAAGGGGTTCTTCCCATGGACCTCCTGCCTTGGAACAGCAAAAACCCTGCAAAGGCCAGAATGTCCCTTTTTGCTTATTTCAGATTTGGAATTCATGATGTTCCTGGAGCAGGAGGGGGATCAGGACTCCGGCCTGAGCTTGGCATGGGCAGCACTCGCTTCATCATCCTCTAAATGGTGGGAAAATAGGTGGGGGTGGGGGATGCATTTCAACAAGAGATTCCACTGGGCTTTGGGTGGATTTCGGATTCAGAGCTGGTGCCAAGTGCTCCTCCAGGGCCTCAGTCTCAAGGCACAGGAGCTTCCCTGCCCACTGCCTTCCCTGCACCAAGGGGTGTTACCTTTTGTTTGTGCGAGTTGCTGTGTTTAGTTTTAGGGTGACTCTGGAGCAACCTGGAAGTGACTTTGGGCAGGAGCTGACTTCAAAGGCAAAATGGATGCAGCATCACAAATCCTGCTCCATCCCTGTGTCTCCCCTGCAGCACCCTGGGAACACAGGGGTTGTTTCACGGCAGTCCCAGCTCTGCCAGCACCCTCTGCCCACTGGGAACCCCCTCCTGTGTCCCCCACCTGCCCACAGGGATAACCTCTCTGGTCCAGGACCTTTGCCAGAGTCAAGGTTTCTCATCCCACAGCTGCAGAGAAAACACCCAGGCCAGCAGCATCCCTGACATCCCTGGTCCTCAGCATCTCCAGCCCCTGGAGCTCTGAGGCGGGTCCCCAGCGCCGCCGGCAGCTCGGGGATGGGAAGAGGGGCAGAAAGGAAGAAAGGAAGAGAAGGAAGGAGCCACCCCTGCCGTGCTGCATCGGCGGCTTCACCCACCGCAGCGGGCTGCCGGATGGGCTGCCCTGATGCTCCCAGGCTCCGGCACGGCGGAGCGCGGCGCGGGTTATGCAACGGGCTGCGGCCGCCGGTGCCGGTCGCGACCCTCCCGGTGCCGATTCCAGGTTCCCCCGGTGCCGGTCCAAGCCCTCCCGGTGTCGGCTCCAGGCTCCCCATCTCCCCGCACCGGCCGCGGTGGGACCGCGGAGGAGCGTCCCTTTGTGCACGGCCGGTGCCAGGACGCGGAGCCGGGCATCGCCGAGCCCGCATCACCCCCATCCCAGCGCATCCCCCCGGCCCGGCGCATCCCCCCGGCCCGCATCCTCCATCCCGGCGCATCCCCCCCTTTCCCGAGTACCTGCAGGCCCTTGGAGAAGGGGCAGAACAGCACCAGATGCACCAGCCGCCGGATCCTCCGCATGCTGCGGGCGCCCCGCGGCCGCGGGCCTCAGGCTCCGGGGGGCATGGCCGGGGCGGCCGCGGCCCCCGCCTCGCCGCCGGGGCCGGGGGCCGGGGGAGCCGGGAGGGGGCCGGGGATGGGGGACCCAGCCGCGCCGCCCGCTCGCTCCGCCGCAGCGCCCGGCCCGGCCCGCGGGGCTCGGCGGCTCCGCCCGGCGCGGGGCGGTGCGGGATGGGGGGGGCGGTGCACGCAGCTCCCGCAGCTCGGGGAGGCGGGGGGCTCCTGCCCGGCTCGGCACCGCAGCATCAGCCACGGGCTCCACGGGGCTCGCACCCACGCCGGGTCAAACCAACCTCGCATCTGGGGACCCCGCCCGGGCATCCCACCCGGGGGTGCCATCCCACAGCCCAGGGGTCCCGCTCACCTGGGGATCCCATGCCCAGGCTCACTCCACACCTCGGGGGTCCCACCTGAGACCCCTTCGCCAGGCTCATCCCACATCCCACCCACGCGGGGATCCCACCGCGGGCTTCACCTCACAAGGCTCCCCAGCTGCCGTCAATGACCCTCTCGGAGGGGTCCATGGAGATGCGTCCCAGCCTCAAGCGCTCGTAGCATCTCCAGTTTTATTTAAAGCCCTTTTGGGTGGCAGATTATCAAAGCCCCCACTGGTTACCCACAGCACAGCTCGGGGGCTGCATCCCCCCGGCGCTGAGACCTGCCATCACCCCTGCTCCTTCACCTCCTCACTGTTTCCCTTCTCCAAAGCCCAGCAGCAGCACTGGCTGCCCTCCCTGTTTGCATCGCGGCTCGGCAGGGAAACCTCAGGGCAAGACAGGGACTGCTTTGTGTCGGACACCGACAGACAGGCCAGGGACAGCTTCATCCAGGGGGATGTGGTGCACACAGGCAAGCAAGGGGTTCAGATTGCTCCCTCCTCTTGCATTTGGCTCACAGTGACCTTTAAAAACAAGCTGGTCACTCCATACCCAGATCCTCACTCAGCGTGTGTGTCAAGCTCACTACTCAGTGTCAAGCAAAAGCCTTTGCTGCTGCTCTAATCCGAATAGTGGTGATAAATAACAAGCATCACTCAAAACTGGCTGAAACCCCCCAAATCCTGCAGCGTGTTTGCTGTCTGCTTTTAACCCCAAGGACATCCCACTGCTCTTGTGCTGTGAAAAGCCCACACAGTGCCCAGACCTCCACATGAGCTGACGTTGCCCACGGCGCTGCTGCAGTGACGGGGCCGGTGAGCATCGCCTGGGCTTACCAGCTCCCTGCTCACCCTCCTGCTGCAGCTCCCTGTGCCTTGATCCCCGATTTTGGGGGTCAAGTGTGGTACACACAGGTGGGATGAAACCCTCGATGGAGATGAGAATTACAGACCTGGGCCAAAGCTGAGGGAGGCTCGAAATCCGTGGATCTCTGCCGTGGGGCTCTGCAACATTCAGAGGTGGATTGTCCAGCGAATCTAATTAGGAATGAGCAGACCTTCCCAAGCTCTAATATGCCAAGTAATTAAGTGATTAGTATTGATTGTTGGAATGCCTAATGAGCAGTTATCACTAAATGATTAATTAATCCAATCAAAAGAGTAATAACAATTCTGCAGGTGTGATTCTATCTTATATTCAGTGTGCAAGGGAAGAGAGGTCTTTCCCCGCCATTCCTGTCTCCCGTTTCTATCCCAGGCACCCAGCACTGGGCATGCTCCTGCTCCCTCAGCTCGGGCTGCCCCTGAGCAAGGGATCTCTTCCCTTCCCAAAAATTCCCTGGCAGTGCCAGAATGGGCTCCCAGCAGCAGGCAGGCACCCAGAGCTGAGCTGTGGGGCTCGGAAGTGGGGAAGGGGGTCCCCCAACCACCATCCAGGAGATGCCAAAAGCAGTCGATGCTGATCTCTTCCCTGGGAATTCTTTCACTCGCTCCCTTGATTAAGTCGCTTCAGTTTCTCCTGGTCAAAGCCCTGCTAATCCCAGCTAAGCCCGCAGCGTGCCGCACGCTGGCCTCTGATCACTTCCCAGCCAAGCGGTGGCTTTGCGGGCACGTCCCCAAGAGCGCTGTGCCCTCGGGACATGGGAGCTCCCAGGGCAGCTGCAGCCCTGAGCGATCATTCGCTGGCCCGTAATATTTACCTGATTAAATGATAATGAATAAATTATCAGCCAGTGCTAACAGCAGCGCGGAGCAGCCCTGACTCGTGAGTAAGGAGCCCTCAAGACAGCCACCTTCGCATCCCCTCCAGAGCACCCTCCTTCCTGTGGGTGGGATGTCGGGGTTGGGTGACAGCTGGGGACAGCACAGCCCAATGCCATGGCCTGCAGTGCCCAGAGCCACTGCCTGGCAGAGGGTGCAGGACCCAGAACCAAAAGAGGGGCACACCCTCTTCCCTCTCCAAGCGGTGCAGTCAGGATCAGCCCTATGGCCACAGGCCAGAGGGATTTGAGTCCCGGGGAGCTGTGCATTCCCAGGCGCTGCCACAGCCCCGGAGATGATGGACCCGAGCTCTAATGCTCTTTTCTGTGCATCCTTTAAGGATTTGAGGCTGATCGCCCGCGCTTCCTGCGTGGCATCCACAGCTGGCTCCGCGCAGCCCGTCAGCTGCCGCTGCTGCCTGCCGGGCGCTGCCGGGCTGAGCACAGCGGTTATAATTAGAAATGCTAATCAGCTCTTGTGTTTCTGGCTTGACAGCCCTGCCACCCCCAGCACAATCTTCCCTCCAATCTGTCCTGTGCTCGCCCCCTCTGCTTCCTCTCCAAATCCCTGCTACTTGTAATTAAGCGCCACAGAATTAGCGGAGGTCAAAAGCTGGGGCTGCTGGGGCTCACTGGGCACTTTGGGCAGGGTGTGCAGCCCCCACAGAGCTTGTGGGTTGAGGGGGATCTCAGCTCCATTCACCACCATCCCTTTGGGCTGAGGACAGGGAAGGCCCTGCACCTGAGCCATGGGATGGAAGAGGGGGAGCCCAAGGGATTTCCTGCCAGCACTGCCAGGGTTAAAGGCAAAGGGTGGTGGCTGTGGCCCAGAGCCCTGTGGCTCTGCCAGCCCAGTGGCTCTGGAAGGGATTCTCATTGGGATTTCTGTCATGTGCCAACTGTGGGCACTGCCCAGCCGAGGAGGAAAAGGAGCTCAGAGAAGGAGGCTGAGCAAACAGATCCCTGCACAGGATTAACTGGTTACAGAGTTATTCATCATCACAGATTGCACTGGGAGACACAACCCAGGGGATTCCTCCTTCACTGGTGCCCACAGACAGCCCCTGCCAGCCCCCAGCCCCTCCACACCACACCCTGAGGCAGAGTGCCCCTGCTGCTGTGAGAGCCAGGACATGGCTTTCACCCAGAGCATTTGGCTTCCAAAGTCAGGCTTGGCCGGGAGGACATTCCTTGGAACAGGCACAGGGCTCAGCTGGCCTTGGAGGAGACTGAGATGCACAGGTGGGACGAGCAGCTCCGGACACCCTGTGCCCAGAGAGGGACAACATCCAAACATGAGCTGGCTCAGTGCCAGCAGCTCACCATTCCTGTTCCCCCAAAAACACGGGCTGTGGCATCACAGCATGGCACGAGCCAGGCAAACGCTGGCGGTCCCTCATCCCACAGGTGCTCACAGACACCTCTGAAGCCTCCTGGGGTCGTGCCCAGGGTGCTGATGTGTTAAGAAGGGTTGGGCTTTCCCAGCAGACATCTGAACCGCATCGAGTAACCCACAGCATCGGGACAACACAGCTGCACCAACACTGAGCAGGAAGTGAATTTTATCTGGAGCCACAGCCCACATACCCACCTGAGATATCACAGCATCTCTAAGTGGTCTTGTGCTGGGAGAAAACACACACAGCTCTCGGGTTTTTAAGTCAGCCTTCATCTTCCAGGTGCTCCCTGTTTATCAGCCTCAGTGCAGCAGAGAGGCCGCAGTTTGGAGGGCTGGTGTGCAAAAGGTTTTCAGGAAGACAGTGGATGTCTGAGGAAGGAGAATCCTCCTCACCTCCTCTGCCCAGGACCCCCACGTGTGGCTTCACTTGGGACACACATCTGCTCGCTGCAGAATACTTTCAGTGTGTGAAGCAGCAAAGGGCCCCCCCTGCTCCTCACACACGGAGCACTTGGATTTCTGGAGAAAGGGAAATAAAAGAAACAAAGATGCATCCCAAAAAGCGAGCAGGAGGGACAGGGCATGGTGGCTCTGATGATGATGCACTTGTGAAAAGGCACCAGCAGCACAGGCAGCTGACTGGGAAAGCTCTGGGCAGAAGTCGGATTGGATTTGTCATGACTAATTGACTCCCTCCAGCGCCGTGGTACAAGTTTCACGCATGGCATGAGCAGGGTCCCGAGCAGCCAGGAATTAATGAGGGTCTGACCCTGTCTGCGCAGCCACTTGAGTTTTTCCAGGGCAGACAGCTGGCTTAAGAGGGCCCTTTATTCTGTACATATCAGATCAATTGGGATAGTTATAATCTAGTCCTGGTGAAAGCTCGGAGCCAGACTTTATTGCCCAGCCAGCTCAAGGAGAGAAAAGCAAGCAAGAGGGAGAGGTCGTGCTGAACTATCGATTGTGCAGGTGGCGTGGCTGCTCCTGGGATGGCCTCTGCAGAGCTTACCAGGGTAGTTTGCCTCTATCTCCCGCTAATGCTCCTCCATTGATCTTCCATGACAGGCGGCAGCTACAAGAGTTTTTTTAGCCGGAGTCATTAAGAGGCATTAATCAATAACGGAGGAAACAGAGAGAGAGAAACTGTTTGTTTCATGGAGACATATTCCCTGCCTGGATTTTAGATTTTAGCCTGCTGAGGCGAGCGTGGTTTATTTCTAGGGAGTTCTGCCAGGAAAAGGATTCACTTTGTGCTGGACTCTGGCACTTGGAGGGGGTCCTGAGCCAGTTGCAACACATTGGCAGCTCTGGCCAGGCGGTGCAATGAGAGGGGAGCAGCTGGGGAGTTTGTGGCATCCAATTCCAGGTACCTGAGCACCACAAGTCACCCAGACCCTCTGTTCCCATGTAAGCACTCCTGGAAGAACTAGGTACTGATTTCACGTGCCCAAAGAGCCGGGTGCTGGTTTCATGTTGTGCATCTATGAAACAAAGCTGCTGCCTGGCAGTGGTGCAACGACTCCCAGCAGCCTGCTCAGCGATCCAGCCCTGTGAGAGCTCAGCCCCAGCCCAGTGGCTCAGCCCGTGGCTGAGTTCATTCCTGTGGCAAGACT